TAGAAAACTTTGGCTTCATAATTAGCAGTCATGGCGAGGCTGACGCACCCAACCTGCGGGTGCTGAAATTAACAAGTGTGGATAACAAACGCACACACACACTGCATACACACAAACACACTGCATACAAACAACACACTGCATACACACAAACACACTGCATACACACACTGCATACACACAAACACACTGCATACACACACTGCATACACACAACACACTGCATACACACAAACACACTGCACACACACACTGCATACACACAACACACTGCATACACACACTGCATACACACAAACACACTGCATACACACAACACACTGCATACACACAAACATGCAGGCGTTGCGGTTGTCTAGTCGCCACTAGTTCCTTTAACTAGTGCCAGTCAAGGACGTACAATATTGGTAATTATGAATAATTATGTCGCACCGTCGCCAGCATTTATCCTACTCATCAGCGTCAGGAATTTGCTCGACAGCGGCGGGCTGAGACTTGCTGAGCTTCAATTATTAAAGACACTCAGACAAATACCTGGTTCGTTGTACTAACGATGAGTGTCATCATTACATCATTGCTGGCAGTACATCATTAAATCATTGCTGTCATTAGTGGCTGCGTTCTTAAGCCGCCAGTGATGATTAATGATGAAACTCTTGGCAGACGCCATCGCTACTACGAAAAACAGGCAATTTCGTGAGAGTTTTTAATCATTCTACTTCAGTGAATCTGATGGCTACAGAGACGGAGGTAGACCACTGAAACTTTGGCTACAAAGAGGGAAGTAGACAACTGAAACTTTTTCTGAATATTTCAAACATTTTCCTTTATATTCCTTTATGAACTGTCGCTTTTCAATGTTTCGACTTGTTGGAGCAGATCTAACGTCCAAATTAAATCCGCTATACAAGAGTGTCGAGATGCTCGGTAGTGAAATGTTGAGGGCGGAGTGCGTGGATATTTTGGTTTCACATCCGTGCACTTTACAGACACTCTCTTCCATCCAACTTGCAGGCTGCCACATCCGTGCACTTTGCAGACACTGACGCATTGGTGGCTGTTAAGCCACTACCTGTTTTCAAGTTTATATTAATAGATTTCAATGAAGTTGATATTTGGAAAAAAATCCTGGTTGTTCAAGAAAGGAAACCTTCAATACAGACTATTCACAATTCTAAGTCTGAGCTTTAATAAATATATTAGATTGAGTAATGGTACTTTTAAGCCCGTATTCCTGTGACTATATAGGAGACGAAACTTAATGTTCCTTCAATTATCAAGTTACCTTCCATTAAATTAAGCGCAGTCTTTTGGCAAAGTCGCTGTATATCTCATTTTAAATTACTACCGGGTATTTCGAAGGCTATTGCTCACCGAAGCTGTAGCGCCAGGTCACATCAACAGCCTAAGGGGTTAAAAACTCACCTACTAACATATACACTTTGGCGTTAAGTAGCCGTAATTATGTAAAAAAATAAAGACTAAGTAGCCTCCTACTTATGCTACCAGCCATAATGGCTAACTACTCCTACTTGCGCCACCTGCCCTAAAAGCTAAGTAGCCTCCTATTTGCATCAACAGACCTACAGGCTAAGTAGCGTTCTACTTATGACTCCGGACCTATAGGCTAGTAGTCTCCAATTTATGTCACCAGACCTAAAGGCTAAGTATCCTCCAACTTATGTCAGCAGGCCTAGAGGCTAAGTAGCCTCCTACTTATATCACCTGCCCTAAAGGCTAAGTAGCCTACTTAACATGACTCACCACAACAAGAGCGACGCCAGTCTGACGAGTGCAGTTCTGATACTCATGTTGCGGCCAGGATACGAGTTAGCTGTTAATCAAGTATATTATGTCATAGTCAATTTGTCTTGAGGTATTACTCATAAGCATTGCGCAGTTCAGAATTAAGCTCTATTCTTGACCTAACATTGATTACTTAGTAAAAGTCGCGTGATCTCAAATATTCCCGGTATTGACGTAACATTTAATGAATGCTAAAAATTTAAAAGCAAAAATAGTCCACAAAAATGCATATCTTTATAGAAAACATTTCGGAGTCCAGCTGCATCGTCAGATCGTAGAATCTAGAATTCATGTAGAAAATGATAAATTAATACATCAATTAATACAATTTTTTAATTTCTTTTAATTTGTCATTTAATATTTGAATTTTAGATTCTACGAACTGACAATGGAGCTGAAACCCAAAATGCTTTCAATAGAGATATGAATTTTTGTGTACTAGTGTTCAATTTTAAATTTTTAGTTACCTTGCGATTTGAACAAACAAGTGACATCAATCCTTTAATGAAAGTTGCGTTGATCAGTAGTATTCACGGACGTCCAAACGAATTTCTAGCATTCAATGAATGCTGCATTCATTATAAATACATAGAGTGTCTGAGAAACATTCACATGTGTTGTTCATCATTAAACCTACAGATATACTCTTTGTTTAAAAAAATATTCTCTTCTCTTTCATGTTATTTCTTTTCATTCAAAAGGAATTCATTGATTGACGAATGAACGAAAGCAGTCAAATACGAGCTGCTGTTGCGATGGTTCTTGCCTTATTTGAGTTAGGAAATTTTCATTTGAAACAATGCAAGTAATCCTAGTTACTCTGAAAACACTTTTATAATAAACACTAAATTTAGCTAAAAATATCGTACATTTCGCGATGATGGTGAATCTAATAAAGTTATTTACATTAGAGCTACAATGCCTCGACAGTTCAGGGCCCAAGCAAGTAATAGTTTTCAGTTAAATAAGTTGGCATGAACATAGAAAACATATACGACATCCGTCCACTCAGGAGCCTAAACTGCTGTACAGAGCACAAGACACGCGCGGCATACGTGAACACCGCCACCGTGAGACTGGAACACGTGTTCCGGCACATCTATTAACCCACACCTGTTAGCCACATCTATTAACCCACACCTGTTGGCCCACACCTGTCAGCCCACACCTGTTAGCCCACACCTATCAGCCCACACCTGTAGGCCTACACCTGTTAGCCCACACTCGTTTGCCCACACCTGTTTACCTCAAAATTTATCAACGATGTCATAACATCATAAACTTGTCGGCAAAACACGCTCGAGTGCGCAGACATACTTTAATTTTATTCACATTCACAGAGAAATTTAATGCAGGACGAATAAAAGTTTTCTAGACGCAAGGCATTTGTCAGTAGACTAAATATTTTAGGTATTCAAGCAAAGACAGGAGATAACGCATTTTGTATTTCAAAAAGTAAAATCGAAAATAAAGAAGCAACATGAACCAAAAGATAGCACATATCAAAGAAAATACACGTTAAAATTTCACAAAATGACAAGACGAAAACATTGTTCAGTTTTAAGTGTTTTGAAGCTTCCGACGAAACTACAACACCAAAATATTTCAGTGACGACGACATTATAATTACATTTATAGAGCGAAAGTTTTCCCAAATATTTTTCGCTACTATTAAAATTAATATGATTTTATTCGAAATCTTTTATGAATGTGACAATGTGAGTTGCAGGGCGTTCGCTGAAACATGTCACGGTTCAGTGTCACGTCACACAAATAGCGATAACTTAGATACTGCGACTGTACGTATCTGTAAGTGGTTTGGAGCAACAAATTGGGCGGCAACAAAGAAATATGTACGATACAATCAAAGAAAATGATTTTATTTTTTTATATTTTTTTAATTATATTGGGTTAAAGATTTTGTTTATGAAATATTTCCCGAATATAAATTTGCATGTTTTGCTGGTAAATAATTTCGAAATTGGTTATTTGTTCAGATACAAGGACGTTATTTCTGCCCGCATGATGTAAAACCTGGTCAATTAGTACAGTTGTGCGCGCTGCGCATCTGAGTAAGTTGGAATGACGTCGCGTAACTTCTACATCTGGGTTTCTGAACACCGCGGCAGGAGCTATCGTTCTAACTTGCCTCTCGGCAAATCTCCTCATTCTGCCGTGCTCCTCCATGCTGAACAGTGCGACGCGACTGTATCGTAGAGTGATTTCAGGATACACGGTTCCACTTCTGGCTGCTCGGATTCAAGAATTTTGGAGGTTCTACATATCTTCAAACGAAAACCGTGTATCAATAATGCGTTTAGTCCATATCCTATTGAAATTGTGAATTGCTAGGCTTTTATGTTTTAGTGTTTTTTTAAGTTTGATTCTTTTCGTTACCCCTAGGACTAAGTTAGTATTGTTTAGTATCGTATCTTCGGCATTGAAGAATAGGCCTAGATAGGCCTGTCGCCTATTCTTGTACTTTTCTTGACTAGACTGGCCTTTTGATCAAATATTTTCAACGGACGGTAGATTTGAAATCGCTTCTAGATTTAAGTTGTTACGTAGGGGACGAGGCATTTCAAGACTAAACAAATGCTCCTGCATGGCCTTGTCTAGTGTTCTTGAACGCGTTCATACTCGGAGCGTCAACAATATCTTCAGTGAGGCTGTTCCACATGTCGGTGACTCGAAGCGAGAATAAATGTCGTCGCGTGGATAAGTTGCACAAAAAATGGATACTTGCCAAAAATCGGCCAACGAGGTGTGAGAAAATTGGTTCAATTGAGTGACCGCATCGCAAATTGTGTAATAGTGCGACCCAAAGATCAAATCTAAAAATCAGTATATTTCGCGCTGTCAGCCGACAACGCTATAAGGTTGCTCATTCAGTTGCTCCTCGATAATGCCATGGAATGTTTCATTGTACAGAGAAATTTACTGTTTTCAAACTGATAAACTGTGATGGGGAATTATCACTGTTTTTCGGTTTCTTCCGCTCGAATCTTGAAACTTAGGTATCAATTGTTCTAATTCGCAAAAAAAATCTATTCTAAAAAGCAGCTTTTTCCAGTATCCGGCATGTTCGGGTTTACATGTAATGAAATGCCAGATATGTCACTGCTTGATATCCTCTGCAGCAGCGTCTCACTCATGACCAGGGAAGGAATATCTAAAGGATACACAAAGATAGGTTCTGCTTAATATTTAAATTTAAAGCTTCGAAAAAGGTAAGAAGTAATTGCATGAGCCAACATACAAATTTTACGACTTGATAACAAAAACAAGTTAAATAATTCACTGCCGAAAGTAATGTTATGAAAATACACATGCTTATTAATGAAGGCCTCTACGCCGTTAAAACTATTCGCTCTCAAAAGATATTTTTTATTTATGAACCTCATGCTAATTAAAATCTAAATGTAAAATGAAAATTTCTAGTTGTCGTTGATTATGTCTTCTAGTCTAACCCTAACTTTGGATAGAGATATTATATCCATTGAAGAATGTTGGTGGTTGACAACTCGATGCAATCCGCAGCAGCGTGAACATCCCTACAAGCTGCCGTGAGGTGCGCGGCGTTAGGCTCGTGGTACAACACACGAATATTTGGTATCTTCTGAAACAGCTGACGAGCGCCTACGTCAGTGAGACGATCCCTCGGGAGGACAAGCTCCACACTGGAATGGTATATAACAAATAACAAAACAATATTTAATTCGAATTACAGGGAAAGTTCAGTCGTGATTTTATTTTGCACAATATTGTGTACGAATGAATCGTCAAAAATAGAGTTTGAGTAATATTGGATAAAATGGACCAGCCGCCTACTTTACATATTAGATAAGGGCGGCAAAAAAGATGAGAGATGGTAACATATTTGCATATATTGTCACTTTATGACTAGTGCTATTTCGTTGCAACGTAAATAAAAGTAACCGGTTAGTATGGATCAGATACTTGACTTATGCTTAGGTTGGTAACTGTCAAAGGGTGAATTTTATAAATCAAGAATACAAAAAAAAAAAAAAAACGGTTGGTACGTGACTAAAATGTGATTTTCCCTCATGAGTATTTGCTTAACTTTTCCCTGCTGCAGTTTCGCCCGAAAAACGTCGCAATTAAAGGGACTGTCGAATACTAGCAAGCATTCTATCATCTGGGCGATACCGGCAGCTCTGCATAAGGCGAATTGAACTTTATATTGAGTTTTTATGCATTCAATTCAATCGAGTCTTGATGAACTCAATTGCATTGAGTCGTTTACATCAGAGCACTTTTGGAGCATCAATAAGTGCATTTCAGCGCAAGTTAGTATAGGCATTGCAACAACAAAATATTACAACACATTATAGTTTGCTTGCATGTTTAGGTGTTCGATATTGTCTAGCTGCGGAATACGGTTGACAACCAGTAACATTTAAGGGGGCGGTATACCCTCCAGAAAAACTTCCCCATTTACTAACGGATCTTGCCGAAACTTCACACATATGTGTAAAAACAAAAGATAAGAACATTTTGTTCGTACGATTTTTTCGGAGAATTAATAGAAAACGTGAAATTCATAGAAAACAGACAAAAAAGGGGGTACTGTAGAAATCTATCTCCTCCTACTGTGTTCAAGCTACAACATTAAGACGCATATCATTCGATGCGTAAAGACCATACCAATCGAGTAACGAAGCCCGATTTTCTATTTTTACCTTAGTTTTACCTTTACCTTAGTTACCTTTACCTATTTTTACCTTTACCTTAGTTCTCATTTTCTTTATATTTTCCCTCCTCCCCCCATTTTGAATCCAAACTATGCACAAATCTACAAAAGGGCTTCGTTACTCGATAGGTATGGTCTTTACGAATCGAATGGTATATGTCTCATCGCTGTAGCTTCAAAACTCTAGGAGGAGATAGGTTTTCCGTGACAATAAGTGTGAATGTTGAGAAGAGGGCGACAAAGTCCCGCGCGCAGAGGCGCTCAATGTAGCATAGATACCAAACTAAACGTTTCTGGAGCTTGATTCCACTCAAGGATGGTGGGAGCGACTACATGCGCACCTCACCGTACAACGCCCGGAGGCACACTGAGCTACACCTCATAATTTTAGTCATAAAAACGCTGTATTTGTAGTGCTGGGCAGCGAATTAGCTCCTATGTAATTACTGAAAGAACTCCCTCCCCGTCCCCTTTTCATGAAGTGTCGTGAACGCATAAATCAACGTAAAGAGATGGTAAGGGTACCGTTGGATAGGGCAGAATGTTAGCTTTAAGATGAGACTAAACAGGTAACTGCAGCACAACTCAAGTAGACACTATATTTAAAGAGCTCAGCATTTAATTAGTTCCTATCTAATTACTTAAAGAACTCCCCCACCCGCCCCCCTTTCATGAAATGTCGTGAAAGCATAAATCAACGTACAGAGATGGCAGTGGTACCGTTGGATAGGGCAGAATGTCCGCTTTAAGATGAGACTAAAAACCGAAAAAGCCAAATCCGAAAATTTTAGGGCATACCGCCTCCTTAAGAACATGTCTGGAATAATAATAATCACCTTATCACTTGCCAGCGGTAGGGTTAGAATGCAACTCATGTAGATATTAAAATCGAACTGCACGACACATACTCTTCATGGCTGTTACAGGAGTAGGAGGATATGATGAATGACACTTGGCATCGCATGGGTTAACATGTAACTCATGTACATACATTGTACGTGCGCCAATCGTACTGTGAAACACATACTTTTGATGGCGGTTGTCGGAATATGATGACAGGATGTGTGACAACCAGTCCACGTCCTGATCTTTGAGGTCGGGAAAGTGCCAGCGGGAGACCTCAAAACCGCCATCCTTTAAGGTAGTGCCAACGTTTTTCGGGACGCCCTTGGCGCAGCACACACTTACTGTTGACCAAATTGCATCGACATTAAAATTATACGCTATTATTCATCAGTCACTTTAGTATTAAAGCTTTTATAATTCTCGTTATTTGCGGCTTGATACCAGTTCTTTCCATTGCTAAATAGCTCGCTATTTTCGCTTGAATTCAACTAGAATTATTCTTCAGGAATGGTAACTCTTAACTAACAAGAAAAGTTGTGACACCTCCTATCAGTTTCAATCTGCATCAATAATGGAGCTAAAAAATTAGTATAGAATAAAAACGTGTATAATTTCTTCCTCAACGAACGCTTTCGTCTATTTTAACGTCTGATGTTGGCCATGTTTGTTTAAGATGGCAATAATTGAAAAAATTCCATACGGCTTCAAAAATACAGTTGTTTGAAAGGGTAAAAAATTATGAGAAAGCAATATGTGTATATGTGTGAATATACATAAAAACAATGAATTACTCACGGATAGTAGAACTCAAAGTATTTCGAGTATAGTAAGCAACATGCAGTACATCGGCTGGGCAGTCGAGACGAATGTTGCAGTTTGTGAGGTTGACGTAGGTGCCCGATTTGGCTATGCTGGGGCAGCCGTACAAGGCAGTCAGCTTTCCACTGGCATGAAATGAATATAAGATATAAACATATAACATAGAAAGATATAACATTGGCAAACCATGAGATTTCCTCATGGTAAAGGGTAATCAGAATTCGAGGAGATTTCAAGAGAACTGTGAGAGAAATTACTTTGAAGCCGATTTTTCTCAAGCATTTCGGGACTTTTTGACTTTGAAAATCTTTTCACGTATGTGACATTTAGTGTTTGCGAATTTAATTAAACAGGGTGACTTTAGTAGAACATGGAATAGGAATATATTAAATTTTCTATAAGATTATTTGTTGTCATCTGTCACGGACATGGCTGAAGTGCTGCAAGCAGCACGAAGTGTGCACTGTATTCGGAGGCTAAAACAATGCGGTAACTTATGAAAGTACACGACCCACCGTAAATTATCGACGATATTCTGCATCCCTCCATCCGCCTGTCCAGCCGGCCTCCAGAAGGAGTCCAGGGGCAGCAGGCTGATTTTGCCGCTGTGGCGGGCGGCGAGGCGGGACAGCAGCTCCCCCAGCCCCGGGATGGGGCGGGTGTGGGTGGACAGCACCACGAGGCGACTGGGCTTCCTGTTACTGGCCAGGCTTGCCAGGGCTCGCTCTCCTTCATCGCTGCTGGAGATGATCCAAGGTTTGCCAATCGGCATGAGCTCGCACGTCTGTAACTGTAGAGCAGGGAATATTCCAATCGGATTAATTCTCAGAATTTAGAAACATTATTACATTCACATTCCTACTGATAGGACTTTTTAATGTTCTTTCACACCTGAGAATGATTTCAAGTCATTGTAGTTTTGCTGAGTCTTGACTCATTGCACAAGTTGACTGGTAGGGCTGTATTATTGACCTGGCCAATATTATAACTGTGGTTAAGAAAAAAGTACATAAATTTGGATTAATGAGAAAAAAGTACTTAAATGTGGTTTAAGAAGAAAAAAGTACTTAAATGTGGTGTGATAGCTAGATAGGAAGCGTGACCGTACGTAATACTGTAATTTGTATATTTTATTCCGAACGAAATTTTCAAAATGCTATTTTGCATCCTATATTACAAGGAGATTAGTAACTTTATTGCTAAACAGAAACTTCCCAAAGGTAGGAAACAGAAAACGTCCAATTATTACGCTAAATATCCGTTTTTAGACAAAATATTTATATATTCGGTTTGTTCATCGTAGATCGCAAAATAAGGTTTAGGCTTTATTCGATAATTGATTTTATCAATAATAATTAAGTTGATTAATCAACAGAAGTAAATGTTCTATATACTGTTGGGAAAAATTTCCCTCACCGCGGCGTTAGATGAGTCAGTCTGAATACACGATCGAACAATATTTTCATGTGCCAAGCTAAAAAATTTAAACTCAAACAAAAGAATTCGGCTTATTCTCAGCGAAACGCTCTACGAACAAGACGCGATCAAATGCGTTCTTTTAAACAATGTTATTCGTCGTAATAGATATCATACAAACATTGGCATTTAAATTTTGCTCTTTCAGGGCAAGGATGCCTTCATAGCAATCCCATGCATGAACCAAAGATATTCATCACAAATATCCTTGTATTATATCAAATATTTCACTCGCCTCTAACGAAGCACTTGTTTTAGCGGCAGCATCCAGTAATGCCTTGATTTCAGGTAGTTTTCCATTTTCTCCAAAGTTCAATTTCAGACGGCTGAGAATTTCCTTGCAATCGAGTCTCATGTTTACATCCAGGCTGGTGCCCGAGGCATCCCAAGCCTGAAGGTCCTGCTCGGTGGAAACTTTCTGGGCCAACAGCAAATCCTTCCAGCCATCAAAATCAGGCTTCAGTTTGATGATGTCATCAATAAAGCCCGATAAACTATCAGATAACGTGACGACCGAACTAACGCTATCGAGTTTGTTCTGCAACGTGGGCCGTATTTTCGCCCAGACGTCATCAGTGTCTTCGTTATCCTGAAGCAGGTCGTCTATCATCTCAATTTTGTGCGTGGCGTGTGTGCCCCTGCTGCACGGGAAGCACACGGACTCCACGCAGTCCACGCAGAGGTAATCCAGCGCCTTCTGGTGCTGGGGGCAAAGCGCTTTTGACTGTGAACCCACCGCACTTGGAAGTGATATCTTATTGGTAGGAATCAATGCGAAGTTAACTGGTAACTGATCAGCATCTTGGGAAATTGGTTCCCTGCATTTCGGACAGTTTTTTGTCTCGGGAACATCGCATAACCGTATAATGCAAGAGAAGCAAAACGTGTGGCCGCAGGTCAGGCAAAGCGGCTTGTGGTTGCCCGAGTCGAATTTCTCGTTACTAACGTCGCACTCTATCGTCGCACTTGCCATCTTGTGAAGAGTTTAAAAGTTTCATGTAACTATTATTGAAGGATGTCCAACAAAATTATAGGTACACTTCACATAAACCTTCTGAAAGATAGTGATCCAGCATCTGTTGGTCTAATACGCTTGTTTGGTCGACATCTTTCCTCGACAATAAAGCAACTCGTTTTACTCTAATTAACTTGGAAGTTATAATGCTACTGCGCAAATAAAGTTTATTTTTGCCTTCCTTAATCTTAAATCAAGCGAGAGACGAAGACGCTTAAATAAACCCGTACTTTGTTTGAAACTTGCACGTTAACAATGAACGTGGTGCTTCATAGATGTAATTCTCGTATAAACTACTGAAACTTGTACTGTCTACAAGCCAAATTTCCTGTACTTCATTCATGTACAACAGTGGTTCCCAAACTTTTTCAGGCTGGCGCCCCCTTTGGCCCCCTAGTGAATTTCTAGCGCCCCCCACAGACATACGCCACTCTCTTGAAATTTAGTACGCTGAAATTTTAAAAGATAAAGGTTAAACACAAATGTGTATTTCACAAATAGAACCCATTTAGTAAAACAATATGTTTTCAGCTGTTTGAACTGTTTCAGCATTAGAAGCCAAGGACGTCGCGGGCGAATTTACGGCCGGACTCTTGGCCGATCTCACGACCAATCTCCAAATTCAATTATCAAGATAATATCTCCCAAACTAATGAACGCAGCTCTATGAAACTTGGAACACGCATTCATCAGAACCTAACGGTGATGTTTAGCTAGTAATTTTTTTTTTAAATTTCACCTTCATTCGTGAGTTGCGCGTATCTTGCGAAACAGGCCAAAATTCGCATTGATCAGAGAATTTCTTCCAAACTATTGAACAGATTTGAACGAAATTTTGAATATACATTCCTAACTACCAAGCGGTGATTTTTAGCTTATAAATTTTTTCGATTTCACCTTCGTTTGCGAGTTTTTTTTCATTTCACCGTCATTCTTGATTTCACACTTCCTTATATTCGGCCCGTATCGCCGGGTAATTTGTCGCTTAAATTCGCGGCGATCAAGAAATTTCTTCTAAAATACAGAACAGATTTCAACGAAACTTTGTATAAAAATGCATAACCTCTCAACAGTGATGTTTAGCTCGTAACAATTTTTCCATTTTGCTTTCGTTTGCGAGTTATACAGATATAGTAGGAACGACCAGCTTTTCTACCGGTCGATCGATGGCTTCTATAAATCAGAATCAGTATACGTATAGCCGTATAACTCGCAAACGAAGGCAAAAAGAAAAAATGTACACATCACCGTTGCTGAGGTTTAGGTATTTAAATACTGAGTTTCGTTCAAGTCTGTTCAGTAGTTTTGGAAAAAAATCCTTGATTGCTGCGAATTTAAGCACGAATTGCTGTTTAAATCACGAATGAAGCTGAAAGGAAAAAAAAAAAACTCGCGAACGAAGGCACAATCGAAAAATTTTTAGTTAGGACTGTAAATTCAAAATTTCGTTCGAATCTGTTCAGTAGTTTGGAAGAAATTACTTGATTACTGTGAATTTCGGCACATATTGTCATATAAGTATGGAAAAAAAGAACGATGGCAAAATTCAAACAATTTTCACGAGCAAAACAATACCGTTAGGTCCTAAAGAATACGTGTACCAAGTTTCATCGAGTTAAGTTCATTAGTTTGAGAGATATTCGGATTCCTTGATCATTGAATTTGAAAATTGGCCGTGAGACCGGCCTCGAGTCCGGCCGTTAATTTGTCCGAGACGCAAACCCAGGAGAGCTAGGTTAAAAAAAAAAACAGAAAAAACCATCGCTGGGAGTCATGTGCTGCACGTGTTGTGTACAAATCGTCTAACAAACGTTCGAACTTCTGACATTGACTTCGGACAGCCGCCCCCCATATCGCCCCCCTACCGACCTCTTCTTCCTTATCGCCCCCCAAAATCTTTCCACCGCCCCTAGGGGGGCGATATCGCCCACTTTGGGAACCACTGCCCTATAGCGAGTAGAATAAATGTGCAGATGTGTATAAGAGACAGGCTGAATAGCGACTAAGTGTCAGGCCGGTATCTCAAAAAAA